CCCCCTTGGTCTAATTGCAGGGCAGCTCGGGATCGCTCTTGCACACGCCGCATCCGCGAAACTCCGCTGGCCAAACCTGTGTGCGAGAGCACTGAGACAGAGAGGGCTCCCTGGGACTTCTGTTTCAATCAGAGATGCCTTTTTTCCAGCCGTCCTGGCCAGAGGAACAGACGGGGAGCCTGATGTGGCAAACTTCCAGTTTTCTAATGCAAAGCGCCGTGTTCTTGTCCACAGCGATAGCACTTTGCAGCCAGAAGGAGCGCGTCTGCTGGGAGCACCCAGCTACCGCTGCTAATTAGCACCTCATAGATCTGCGAGAGAAGGATCGTTTTTCTTTCATGAAGAAACTGGGTTAATGTGATCTCTTACCAGGGAAAATGGGAGCATTAAATAATTGAGATGAGAAACAGCTGCAACGTGGGCAGGTCAGACGCGGGCAGCACGGAGCAGTGTGGGAGCTCTGCAGAGCCAGTCCCGCCAAGGGGGCTGAGATGCAGAAGGGAAGGGGGAGAGCATGGGCAGCTCTGCTTTCCCTCCACGCTTAAGAACTTATTACTTTAGAGAGCACCACGGCCTAAATGAAAGGGATGACTCACCCTGCTTAGTGGTTTTAAAGCATCATCGGAGGATTTTTTTATTTTATTTTATTCCATTTTCTTCAGAAACCGTGTTATCTGCTGCGCGTAGCGGGGAGCTGGCTGAGCTCTAAGACAAACGTTGCTAAGAAATTCATGGGCGAGGTGGAGCGAGCTCGATGCAGGGAGAAGAAATGAAACAGCCGTCCGCAAACCCTGTGCTGCAAACGGCACGCGGTCGGTGGGACACACAGAAGCTGATGCCTCGTGTTCACCTTCCCGAGCTGCCGCGACGAGGCCGCCTAGGGAAAACCTTCCTGGCTCTTTTTTTCCACCTTTGCCTTGGAATTCACCTGTGACGGGTGGAAATCGCAGTTTCTACTCACATGCAGGACCATTCACGACGGGAGAATTCACTGGCCAAAAGGAGCCAATCCTACTATCATAACCGTTGCCTGTAGCCACATGGCCCTGGTAGGAAGCCTCTAGAAAAAGGCTTGCAGCTCACCAAGATTAATTGCAATGCCCCTACGCAGCGATTTGGGAGGCACGAGGAGGTGACAGGCAGGAGCACTGAGCTGTTTCGACAGCAGCTCTTGCCCAGTGCAACCCCATGTAATCGCTGAACCACAGCACAGCAGCACCTTGTTCTACAAGGAGGTGCCTGTTTTAAACAACTGCTTTCATTAGCGGCGGTTTCTGCTCCCCTAGAAGAGCAATTAAAGAGCTAATTTCCATCAGCCCCTTTGGCCAAAACTGGATGAATTTTGCTGCCCCTCCACATGAGCCCTATGTGTATCTAAGAGATCTTTGCAGCTGGGATGGTTTGTGCCTTATCTCTGTGCCTGCTTGTGAAGGACTTTTTCACTTGCCCAGATTAGCTTTGAAGCTAAACTTTGCAAGACATAATCATAAAGGAAATGCAGATGCTGGGCAGGGGTCAGGAAAAGATGGCAAAAAAGTTCTTCTGTCAAGTGTTTGTCACCAAGGGTATTTCAGAGTTATGGCCAAAGGCCATAGTCTCTCTGAATAAAATAAAATAAAATAAAAGCATGGCAAGTAAGAAGAAAATTGATGATGTGTCTCACTGAATTATTATCAATACTAGGAATTTGCATGCTTGCAGTGCAACCCATGTCCAGTAAAATAATACGGAGGAAAGGCAAGAAAGCAAGCAGTGGTTCTTGTGTGCATACATTTATATATGCATACATTTATATATATGTGCTTGTAGGTATATGTGCATATATCCCAGAAACGGAGATAAGAAGAATCGGGACCCTCTCGGGAGCCCTTTCTCTCCAGAAAATGCAACCACAGCTTCATGCTCATGCCAAGTATTGCACCACGAGCAGCTAGGAGCCATCGTTGCAGGCACCCTGGGCTCCCCTGCCTGCAGGAACAGGACAGGGTCCCTCTGGGGACAGTCACCTCCCAAGCTTGGTTATGCGGCCCTGAGTGCACGGAGGAAACTGCCGCTTTTCATGGCTGTTGTCAACAGGGGAAGAGGTTGAGTTCAGGCAACAAATTATTCAGAAGAAATTATTTGCCAGACTCTCGTTACGCGCCCTGCAGAATGGAAGGAGTTGAAATATCGCGTGCAATTAGCTCCATGCTGCAGAGGATGTCAGGATGGCCCAACAGCTTCAACAACGGCGCGGGGCAAAACCCAGCCCGGGCGCAAGCAGAGAGCACCGGCCAACACAAGAAAATGTACATTGAGCATTTCCAGGATTTATAGCCAGAATGTATTCAGAAAGAAGTTTTTAGTGCTCTTACGGCGAGCACTGATCTTACAATAAATCAGTTTAATTAACCGAGCCCAAAACAATGTTTGCATTAGCATCTAGGAAAACAGAGGCTCAAATCACTGCGATTATCCCCTGAAATCTCTCACAAACGAAGCTTAATAACATCTGCTGCTCCCTCAGCTCGAAAAGAAAGCAACAATAAAGGAGAGAACAAGGAGCCTGCCGAGATAGGGGCCTTGAGAATAATTCCTGAAGATTTCTTTTCCTTTCTTTCCTCTAAAACAGCAACTGTGGTGGTGACCCTTAGAATAACCCACAGTGATGATTCAGTTGCACAAACTGTAAATAGCACGGAGCATCTTTCCTTCACCTCTCCATGCACCACAAGGTGGGACAAATCTGCCGTAAAACAGCACTTGTAACTACTGCATCAGTCATTTTGTGCTTTCAGGAAAGGACTCGCTTAAGAAAGAGCTGAGAGTGCAGCTGAGATGTGATTTTCTCGAGTGTTAGAAGTATCTAACATATGTATCTCTTGTATAAAGAGGTAGAAAAGCAAGCTTAAATAAGAAGTACAGGATGCCTGGGACCAACCAGTGCATCCCCAAGCCCTAATGGGATTTAGGGGGAAAGTCAGCTGCCGAGAAGGGTCCGCTTGGTGCAGCTTTTGCTGATAAAAACTAGGTTTTGTGGACAGGAATGCTGTGATGAGGGATAGACCAGGCAACTGCGGAGCCCAATCCGGTGCTGTGCAGGGGAGCAATGCAGCAGTCGGGCTGCACCTGGCAGGTGGAAGGCGGCACGGAGCTTTCCTGGCAAGATTCCTGGGGACCAAAGCGCGGAACCGTCAGGAAGCAGCTGCTTGTGGCACACGCTGGAACGAGAGCGGAAAGGGAAGCGGTGACATTCGCAGGGAGAGGCTGAAATAGTTTTGAAGCAGGGCCAAATGAAGGAATGCAGAAATACCCGCGGAAAGTCGCTGCGACGCTGGGATGCAGGGACACGTGGCAGGCGGGGAACTTTCCATGAGATGCCCTGCGATGGCAGCTATTTTCTGGGCTGCCTCCTCTCGTGATGGTTTCGCTACATTTTAATTGGGTACAAGACTAGCAGGGTCAGGAGGATGAGCAAAACCAAGGGAACAGACACAACCGTTCTTATGTGATACCCTTGTTAGGTGCTCATTAAAATCACCAGGACCTTCGCTCTATCATCTGCAGAAGTCTTAACTATCAGCGTTAATTGCATCTGGGGATTTGTTTAATTAAGCAAGCAGATTAATGTGGAGATCTGCAGGAGAAAAAGCTGTTGCTTGGTCTCAACAAGCGCAAGCTGCAGTGAGGACACCTCTGCGAGTGAACTGGGGGCTGGTGGGATCCCAAATCTCCTCATTGCCTCCCTCAGAGCAGGATTTGAGTTCCAGCTTTTGGCTCTTCTTCATCTAGAATTTGCTAGGCAGAACCAGGTGGCCATATCCACACCTATGACATAAAGCTTTTTTGCACCAAAAGCTTTAACTTACAGTTTGATTTCCAGCTTGTTGGAGGTGAAATAACCACAGGAAGGGAGATCCATAGGGATTCTGACCTAGAGTAAATGCTGGCTCTATAAAACACATTACAAGAAATGACATTAAGGGAAAAGCAATTGCCATTGCAAAAGTTAAGCACTCAGAATTTAGCAAGTGACAGATATAAGGTTGCTCATGCAAACCTCGTTCTCTGCACACACATCATTTGAGTTGCTGATTGCAGCACCATGTACTCTTTTTTTTTCCACATTGTAAATGTTTCTCTCATGGAGGAAATTTGATTTTTATTAATTACATAATGTCAAGCTATATTGTTAATGCAGATTCTAGCCAAGCAGCCAGGGTGACAAATGCTGACAACTTGAAAGTGGCTGCACAGCATGGCTTGTGCCCCTTGTGCTGTACAGGTTTGTGCTCTGCTTAATTTTCTTTGGAAGCAGCACAAAACAGTAAGAGGGCTTTGCTATATACACCATCCAGTACCTGACATTATTCAAGGAGAGAGAGATCTAATTATGTGGAGATTGGTATCTTCCAGAAGAGAGGCTGCAAAGCACCAAGGCATGGCACCAGCACTGTAATAGTTCATCAGTCTCTGAATTATACTGGAATAATAAAAATGTGAGTCTATAAAGGACACAGAACTCACCGACTCTGACAGCGATGAAATATCCAAGCAGAAGGGATAACGCTGCCTCCGGACATGAGCACAGAGATGGCCACCGGCTTTGTCCTTGCCGCAGAAAAAACGAGAGCCTCAGGTCTAAGGATGCATCCAAAAAGATCCACCCTCTGCCAGAAACGACATGAATATCTCCAAGAGGATTTTTTAAAAAGCTGAGGCTGGCAGCCCTGAAAGTGGGGGACTGTGCTTCATTCCTGTGCCCCGACACAGCATGGGAGGTAGGGGTGAGCTTGCTCTATGCCCCATGCCACTGCGGGCATCAGTGCCCTCAGGGCAGTGCTGTTGCACATTTTGCTTTGCTGATGCTGCATGGCACCGTGATCTACCCCGCTCGTGTTGCATGCACATGCAATGTGCATGTCCATCAGGGCAGTAAAACGGATGAGGGTTAGTGGGAGCTGAGAAGCGACAGCGTTTCAGTAGATGTAGATAGATTTCAGGCAGATGAAATAAAAGCCATGAAGTTAATGAATGGCATTGGGGGACACAAAGCCACCAACCGCTTTCTGGACTGGCTGGAAGCACTGGAATCTGGAATACGGCATCCCCGCTGGCGCCGCACACAGTGCACCATAAATATCCGCTCAAAAGCAGGCTACCTCCGACAGGAAAGAGGAGGAAAACAGGGTGATCTCACTGTGAAGGCGAAGAGCCCTGCTTGGGTCCGTGGAGAAAGCAGCGGGGAGAAGCAGAGGCAGCAGAACTGTCACTACGGCTGTTGGTTCCAGCTGCACGGCTGGAGCGGAGCAGGCCCAGGGAGGCCAAATCCTTCAGGTCTCTCTGAGACTGGAGCTGTTTGATGTTAAATTAGGCGGGGGGCTGAGAAAGACAATGAATAAATAAGTCAATAAATACATTGAATTAAAAAGAACCTCAATAACCCCACCTGCGCTCTTGCCAAATGAGGCCGAGCTGAGGAATATCTTGGGGGTTTTCGGTATTTCACACTTTGTGCTATTTTGATGTTGCTGTGGGGAGAAGAGAGTGAAATGGAGGTTCCTTAGGTTTGCATTCACATGTCCAAGCAAGCCCACTCCCGGCTCTGCCACCGCGGGCTAGCGGGGAGCTCGCAGAGCTCCAGTCCGGCTCCCTGCTCCGAGCAGCTCCAGCAGGTCCACAGCATGGAAACCATCTCCTGATACACTGGTATCTATATCTATGTGATAAAGGTATATAGATGTGAGTGAGTAGCAAATAAAATAAAGTCCTTTATTTTCAAATGCAGTAATAGCTGTTCCCCTCTGCTTTAGATTGCTTAAGGGGACAGGCACTTAGATGAAGCCAAATTGGACCAAAGACATTTCGGTGGCTGATGAGAGCAAATAGGTTTGTGCAGGACTTCACTGTCTCCTTCTCCTTAGTAGCAGGGGTGATTCTTGCTGTTTAGGCTCTCATCAGCATCCCAGATGGGTCAGCTCCTGTGCTATACTGAAAAACGCAAGCAGAAAACACAAGCCAAGAATATTTGTCCACAGAGCAAAATGTTTCCACCCTGTCATGGGGTTTAGTTTGTCACAGGCCATGGAGGTTGGGGACTTCATGCTCCCATATTCTCCAGAGGTGAAAATCTCTGCTGGGTCCATGTGGGGTCCCTGGTGCGCACGGGAAGCAGAAAACACAAGCCAAGAATATTTGGCCACAGAGCAAAATGTTTCCACCCTGTTATGGGGTTTAGTTTAGCCATGGAGGTTGAGGACTTCATGCTCCCATTCTCCTCCAGAGGTGAAAATCTCTGCTGGGACCATGTGGGGCCCCTGGTGCGCACGGGGGCACAGAGGACACGGGGATGACAGTGAGGAAGGAGGCAGGGCCTTGGGAGACAAGGGCGTCCTGTGGTGCAGCCCAGGGAGTCCCAGCCTCAAATTTTGACCTGGGGGTAAAATTGTCGGGGTGGAAAGATAGTTTTTGAAAGGGATTTTTGAGGGGGCTGGAGGTGGGGAGGAATGTGTTCTCAAAATAGATATATTTCCATGGCAAATCCAAGCGATAAGGACCACTCGGGGTTGGGAAGACTGGGTACTTCAAGTGCAGCACAAATACGACACACGTCTTTTACTCATATAAACTTATAAAAAGAACGAAGGCATCGCTCACCATTTTCATCTGCATTGTTGGCTGTTTTAGTTGCTACCATTTTTTTCTAGTACATGTCTCTGGGTGAAGAAATTAGTGTCAGCTCAGATGGAGCTGGTCTTGAACTGCTCTTGGCATTTGTTAAGAAGCAAGTCACCAGGGAGAAAGAGCTCGCAGCTGCCCAACTCAGCTGTTAATGCAGCTGGTAACCGAGGAGGCTGATGGCCACCTTCTGTGAAGAGCTGGATGGCATCACAGATAAGAGGAGGAGAGACAGCAGGGTTGTGGCAAAGCTCAAAGTGAGACACCATGGAAAGGGAAGGTGATGCTTGTTCTAAACAACAGAGATCTCAGTCATTTACTCTTTCCTGACTGCTCACAAGCACTGGGACATGTGTCCATGCAGGTGTGTGCAGGGTTCCTCATGGTGACATGGTGCATTAGGAACAACTCTTGAGGCCTCATCTTCTAGGTTCCCCTTGGAAGCATGATGGTTGCTAGTATAGTTTAACCCAGCTCTGAGCCTTCTGCCCCAAGAGAGGGTACTCTGCCTTCATGCACCATGCACCCAGCACTCCTGTCAGGACCTGCCAATTCCTTCGCATTGCCTATAGTCCTTCTGGGGTTTAAGCTCTGATTAGGAGCAACCTACATGACACGGCAATCCAAAAAAGGGCCCTAGCCAGATCCTCTCTGCTCTGACACTCAGATAGTTTGTTGCCAGGTGCTCCATGCCCAGAAGAAAAGCAGTATGGGCTATGGCACAGCAGAGGAAACAAGCCCTGTGCATGGGAAATGTGCCCTCGTGGCTAAGAAGGCCAATGGGCTCCTGCCTGCAGCAGGAGGAGCATTGCCAGCAGGGCCAGGGAGGGGATCCTGCCCCTCTGCTCAGCTCTGGGGAGGCACCTGGAGCATTGGGGGCAGTTCTGGGCTCCCCAGGACAAGAGGGACCTGGAGCTGCTAGAGAGGGTCCAGCGCAGGGCCACGAAGATGATTGAGAGACTGGAGCAGCCGTCGTGTGAGGAAAGACTAAGTGACCTGGGCCTGTTTAGTCTGGAAAAGGAAAGACTGAGAGGGGATCTGATCAACATGTACAAATACCTGAGCGGAGAATGTAGGGAGGATGGGGCCAAACTCTTCTCAGTGGTGGCCAGTGACAGGACAAGGGGTAACAGGTACAAGTTGAAACCCAGGCAGTTTCACCTCCATGTGAGGAAGAGCTTCTTTGCTGTGAGGGTCCCAGAGCCCTGGCACAGGCTGCCCAGAGGCTGTGGAGGCTCCTTCTCTGCAGATCTTCCAAATCCACCTGGATGCCGCCCTGTGCTCTCGGTGTCCCTGCTGGAGCAGGGGGCTGGACTGGATGATCTCCAGAGGCCCCTTCCAACCTCAACCATCTGTGATTCTGTGTGAAAGGAGGGTTTTCAACAACTTGTTGCTTTCTAGACATATACGCTCTTTAGAGGTCCATGGGTGTCATGGGAACCCAAGCCCTGGGTTTATAAGTGCCAAAGGGATCAACGTTGGATGACCAACAGCTCTCCCCTGCACAACAAGAGGGCTCATGGGTGAACTAAGCACAGAGCATTGAAGTCAAACATGCCACGGTGTGTCCAATAGCTTGTTGGTCATGAACGTGTCCACAGCACATTGCCCCCAACGCGTCTCTCATGGAGCGAGGCAGGAACCCTGCACCACACTGCACCCTGGTTCAGTCCTTCCCTCCTTCCACATTAGTAGCGCAGAAAAGATTGGTCTGGCCTCAGTTTCTGGCTTTTTTTTTTCCCTGCCTCTCAAATAAAAGTAAAATCAAGTTGTGATGAAGGGGAGCTGTGCCCCGAAGGGGAAATGCTTCAACAGCAGAGAGAAGGGAGATGAAAATACTGTTCCCTTTAGCCTCATGGTAGCCAGGAAGAGCTGCAAGTCTCCTGGGAGGTCTCGTTGCTGAAGATCAAAGAGGCTCAGAGGAGTCTTGCATGCTTTGGAAAAAATCTCCAGAAAGCTCTTAGCTCCAGCCGCAAGCCTTTCCCCATCCAGCAACTTAGCCAGGGCAATATCTTGTGAGCCTCCTTTAGCTGAGCAGCTGAAAAGAGCAGAGCAGAACACAAGTGGGATTTAATGGCCCTGTGCTTATTTCCAAAATAGGCTTATACTCTTTGCGGGGACTCAGCGTGCAGAAGCTTAATGCAGCAAGTGAATGGTATAAAAGGCAAGGTGGGGACAACGCTCGTGGCTTGGATGCCGACTGCTGGCCTCACTCCACGCTCTGCTCTGCAGCAGGGAGCCAGCGTGGAGCAGGCTCTGATCCCGGGACCAGGTTTCCTTGTAGGAGAGGAAGAGATGGCCCATGTGCTGCAGGCATGGGCCCAGAGACAGAGCTAATAAGCTGGGCTGCTATTGCCAAGTCAGGATTTTCCCCGCATGCAGGTGCTTTATTTTGTTCTCAGCACAATTCTGCAATAAAAGCTGTTCCCCCCTGCCTAGGTATTGGTGGCAGATGACAGGCCTTAAGTGTAAGCGCAGAGTTAAGACAGCTCTTACTGCAGTTAATGGTTTCTTTCCCAAACAAATGATACAGGCAAGAATGTTTGCACTTGGTCCCTTTAAAGTTTCTTGAAAATCCTAAAAGGCTTCATCTTCTGAGCAGAAAATAGAATAATATATTCACATTTGATGTTCAGAGTGTTGGTGCCTGATTCTGAATGACACGGAAAATAGCAGGCAGACCAAGTATCCATCAGCTTGATCATGTGCTAAGAAGCACGTGCTGCTGCCTGCTTTGGCAACGTGCAGCAGCCACAACATCTCCACAGGCAAAATATTTGGCTTTGTTTATAGATGTCTAAGACATCCCTACAATTTGTCTTCCCAAGTGACTAGGTTTCTTCTAAGCAGAGATCAACAAATGCTTCTCAAGGTGTGCTCCGATCTCCAAGTCCTACAGGTTGTCCCAGCACATGGCAATATAGAAAGTCACTTCTGACTCTCCATCCAGGCTGCTGAGCCCATGAATCGAGGCTATTTCAAGGCAAGGAGGCACAGGAATGAGACTGTCTTCAACACCCAGCCCACTAAAGCCATCCAACTCGCACCCTGGTACCTGCAGGGTTTTCTCACAGTCTACTACAACATTTGGGGCAATCCAAATGTCTAAGAGGAGTGAAAACGCGCACGCGCTGACCAACCTGCCTTTTATTCCCAAGAGTGTTGGCTTTTCTTCTTCCATTTATTCCCAATTCTTTCTCTCCACCACTAAGAGCAGAAGTGAAGTACAAGGCAGCAGCTTCAGGAGCTGGCTCTGGACAAAGAGAAGACACAGCTCAGCCAAGGCCATTTCCCCAGCTGAGACCCTGCAAACAAGCCATGAGCCAGAAGGCCAGAGGAATCAGGGGCCAACTTTCCTCTCCAGCTTTATTTAACCCATTCTCCAATTGCCTCTTCTGTCACTGGCAGAGTTGGGTCTGGAGGCTGCCCTGGAGGCTGCATGCTAGCGATAAGCATAAATATTTTAACATTTCGTATTAATGAAATCGACTACTGTGAGCCCTAAAGATAATAGCCGACGAGCTGTCACTCAGAACATTTTAGGCACAAACAGATGCATTTTCCCTGCAGCAATTTTCCTCTGCAAGAATAGTGATATTATT